GGGAGTGATTTCTGTAGGCAATTTCTCCTCTGCTAAACCTATTTTCCTTTCTCACAGAATGGAGAGATTGAAGAGTGAGGCATTACAAGAAAGTATGCAGGCACATAATGAGGGATACAGAGGACTGATTGTGTAGCAGGCTTGCAGCTGCTGGCATCAGTGTTTTGCTTTTGATGTGTGCCTTGCTTCCCTTGTGTGCTTGTTTACTTTCTTGCAATCCTTTTCTCTCCAATCTTTCTGTTCTGTAAGGGGGAAACTAGAAAGATGACAGGTCAAGCACAGGACAATGCATACTGACTGTAATAGAAATCACTTGATCAAAGATTACCTGTAATGTAATCCATATAAGTAAATGCCTTTTACACAAAGATAAAGGGAGGGAGGGGCAAGCAAATTTAGACTTGCAGAATTCTGTTATTACAGCTTTATAATAAAAGTAATGCTGACCTACATAGTATTGCTTTTTTAGTCTGGTTTTCTTTGAAAGCTGGCATTATCAATGTAGTTTTAAAAAAACCATGAAAATTATAGGAAAATTAGAGTGGGAACAGTTTGAAGAATTAAATAAGCAGATTCCACACAGATGGGAACAGTATATTATTTTGCAAAAATAGTTTTGTTCTCATCCTCAAAATATATGGACAAAAATTGAATGTCTCATGCTGTTTTCTGCCATTTCATGTTCAGCATATATATTTGACAGTATGTCTAGGGCCATAAATTTATGATTCCTGATACAGCACATGAATGGAGGTCTCATACAAGAATGTGGGATAATTGATGTGATCATTTTCTCTCTTTCTATATTGGTGAACAATATGTTTTTTTTTTCAAAAAAAAAAACAACTCCTGGAACAGCAACAAAGAATACTTGTATTATATAAAATATATACAACTATGGATGCAACATGATAGTATTCTTACCTGGTCACTGCCATCTTTTCTCCCTTTTTCCAGTCCCACAGTACAAGGGTATGATTGTCATCTAATCCAATTGAAGCTAAGCATTTCCCATCAGCTGTACAAAACAATTCATAGTTCATCATGAGATATCATGAAATGAAATGTGACAAATATAATATTCACTGCTAATTTATGTTATGGTGCCAGGAATAAGGGAGTTGGAAGTTCTACAATAATCAAACTTTCACAATGACTTAATTTGTACTTATCTCTTCCTCCTTCTCCTAACTATAATTATTCTAGAAAAGGACTTAGCAGTTCCCAAATGTTAAATAGTTCGAGAGCCAATTTGAAAACATTATGGCTGTCATTGGCAGTTCTGCCCATTCATAAAATGGCTGTGATGGAGGTATAACCAGTTTACACAGACACACACCAGGTTTAGGTGAAAAATCAAGTAAAGGAATGGTGCCCACAGATATGAAGTTAAGAACCCCAGAGTAGTGAGCTTGATATGTTTGAAAGTGATGGTGTTGTTATGTTTTGTGACAGAGGCTTAGCCCAACTAAATAGAACTGAAAAGGCTAGCTGTTGCCTGTTTGATGCTTCTATATATGCTTCTTATAAGTGAAAATCGGGGGGGGGGGGAACCCAATAGTTTTAAATAAAAAAAGATGACCTCTGGATAGATCACAAGCCTTGCTGCATGGTTACTAAGTAGAATTTATCTGGGAAGCTACAGTAGCTTCATGCACCTGAAGAAAAAGACAAGATTCTGCTTGCTATCACAGAAAAAAGTTTTACTTTGAATGTTTTGAAATGTTATCTTGGAAGAGGAGAAGAGAAGGGTATGATCTTTTTCAGGAAAAAATTATTTCAGTTACCATATAACTAAACAACATCATTTCCCATTCTAAAGCACCATTCATTACATAGCAGCTCACCTGAAAAGTCAAGCGCACATATTCCCCTTTGGTGATGGCCTCTTAGCAGTGACAAACATTTGAGCATCTGTATATCCCAAATGTGAATAGCAGCATCTCTCCCAACCTAAGTAAGAGCAATTATTTTAGTTGCCATTGTTAAATAAAAACCCAATGCAAGAGTATTTTCAGTCAAAAGAGCTTTTGTTCATAAGCAAAGGTCCAAAATCATTCTGAAAAAAGGAAATTCAGATCTTTTGATCTGGGGACTCTACGAATGAAAATTAGAGTTCAGATTTGCTGCTTAATTTCTCAAGCTTAATTTCATCTAAAAAAAACAGAGAGAAAGTGCTTGACATCACCAATTCTACTGAAGACACTATCCAAATTTCTTGTCCACCTTTCTATAACCAAACAAAATTGAGTATGTATCTGGCCGGCAATGGATTTTAGGATTCCCTGAACTGCATTACTGTATTTCATTTTCCCTATTATATGGTTGAATTCTCTCAATACCACAAAAATCTCCAAAACATTTTTAGTTCATTTGAAACAGAACAGATACTAAATAATTTGAACATTTTTTAAATATATGTCATCGCTATGTTACCTCTGACAAAAACGAAGTCAGTTCTGGGATATAAAACAATAAGAAAATCCTAGCACTATAGCCTAGACTAAGAAATAATGCCATATTACACCTGCATTCTTTTTAAAAAATAAGCAAAGATAAAGCCATAAAATCACTTACAATTGAATCAGTGGTGGATTCTGGATTCTGTCACAACTGGTACACTGCAACGGGGCCGGGCGTCTACCATGTGCACATGCATTGTGCATGCATGTGCACCCACCACCCTGCGACGCTCCAGCACGTGCCCAATTGGCTGCTAGCTTAAAAAGAGGTAATAAACGAGGGCGGGCAGGTGGGCCCAATGGAAACACCATTCTGGTACAGTGGCAGCTGCTCCCAGCTGCCAGCAGTACACCTGTACCGGGGCGTACCACCTGGAACCCACCACTGAATTGAATGTGATTGAAAAGAGCCTTTATATATTTATTCCTAAAATTTTTATAAAACCTGTTTTGAACATCTTTTGTTTCTTCATATATTATTTTAACAACCTCACAATATTTATGCTTATTGCAATAGAGACTATAAAATCCATAGTCTATCTGGCTATGTAGAGATTCAAACGAGAAAATTTAATTTAGGCATTCTTTAGATTTAGGATGTATTCTTTCCAGAAAGGAATAGGGAAGACAGCAAAATTGGCAGCTACAAATATCAACAACAAAGCATAGCCAGAAAATAAGACAAAGCAGTTTGTGAATACTGTTTTGCATTTCTGCATTCTGTATTTTTGGCATTCATTATTCTTCAATCTTTATTTACAACCCATCCTACAGTTAAGTGAATTGCTTGTAAACCACTATTAATCTAACTAATTGAACTAAAGTCCACAAAATTTAGATTGTTATAAATATGTGCCAAACATTCCATTTCCTGGATTGTTTTTCACTTACCCTCTGCTTTTTTGGCAATTGAGATGCTAGGCTTCCTTTTTAAGTAATTGGTATTAATATTATAATATAGTTTAACACTCCTTTTAGACCAAGAGAACATTCTATAATATTTTACTGTAGAACCCATTCATAAAGCACTGAGATATATTATTCTTCAATAAGTGGATTTACTTTTTAATTTGAAAAAAAGTTGCTAGAGTGAATACTGTGAGAAAATCTGTATTTTTTAACATTGATTTGCCATTGGTCATGTTTCTTGCATACTCACCTGTCCAGTAGCAACATAATCTTTCATAGGATGGATAGCAAGGCTGAGAATGTCATCATCATGACCAAGATATAGTCTTTGGGTGTGCTGCTGTCTATTATACACCACAGCAACAGCAGCAATATGATAGACCACTTCTCCAGTCTGTGTGTAGAATAAATTATTTCGACAATCATAGCCTCTATAACTGAAATTAATAGGGGAAAAAATCAACAAGTAAATCAGTTAACAAGACTTCTAATAGTCGAAGGAACAAAGGATCATGTACCACGATCCTAGTGTTATCATTTATACTGAATCATATTTTGCTGAAGTTAATAGGACATTTCTAATCAATATTTATTTATTTATCAAGAATTAGATCACCAAGTCACTCACAGTGACTCCACGGAGCTTTCAAATACAAAACCCAATAAACTCTCATCCCCTTGGTGACAACAATCAAACGATGCCCTCTATCTCACTCTGGAGTTCCCAGGCCCGCTGGCAAAACCATTGTCTTCAGTGCCTTTCAAAAGAATATCCATTTTATCTTTGCAGGGAAGATGCTCCATTTATTAGGATATAAACGATTATATATTATGGTATTATGTCTAAGATAACATAATAACATACCTGGTGTTTGAATATTTATATTGATTTAAATATACACTGAATTTATTCCAGTTTATATTTAAATCAATAATTCAATAAAGTTAATATGGTCTGTATTATATGTATTAAAAAATATTAGTTATTGTATTATTTGTATTAAAATGTATTAGATATATTTTTATGCTGTTTTATCAATTTTAGACGTTAGATACTACCTAAAATTCTAGCTGACAGAGGTGATAAATAAATCCCAGAAATAAAATAAAAGACTAAAAGAAAGAAATAAATGGTGGTCAATGACCAAAATAACAATGGCTTTGTACTGAGATTAGTACCATCCTTATGCATATGGGAAATGGGTAGACTTGGAAGGATTGTAATATTTAAAGCCTGCAAAGATGTATCATAATTTCATTAAAATGAGGAAACAAATTTTCATGGGATGGGGGGAACCTCAAATATAGCTTAGTTTAAAGAAAAGAACATTCTAAGCAAATGTAGAATATTGGGTGGCTACTGCTGGACAGTGAACAAAGAGGATTGGGAGAAAATATGTAGCTGCCTGATACCACTAGAGATGAACACTATGTTAACAGAATAACTCTGAGTTAACAGACGGCAGAGAATATGAACAGGAAAACCAGTATTCCTTCATTTATAATAATCAACAAAGTTTTATACCAGGCTTAATTTATACATCTTGCTCTCAGCCCTGCATTCCCAAGCAGGTACACAAATTAGAGAAGTAACTTTATCATAGAGAATTAGGAAGCCATGTTCAGAATGATGATTTGCATGTATCAGCATGCAGACAACTTGCCTGATTTACAGGACCCTATAGGTTCAAATCCTGGAACTCTTCCTCCCTCCTTTTTGATTTAATCAATTTTTGGCTACTCAGTTTTCAGTTCTGAAGTTCTCTGTCATCTATCCTTTGATCACTAAATAGCTTTCTCCAATGTAGAATCAGTGTCTCACTTTACCCATTTCAATTCTTAACTCCATGCATAGACTTTAAATTTAAAGTTTATTTTTGTTTAACAATGGATTATCTTTCTCTTTGAGTAAACTACTAAAAGAATTACTGTTGAAAGTGTATTATACCCGTGTATAAATTGCAGCTTTAAACTGTCATCAGGGGCTTTCTCTCTCTTAAGGAAGGGCACTGAGTGGCTTTTCTCTTTACGTTGTTGTTTCAATTGAGGTAGATCTTCTTTGTAAACCTGCAAAAAACAGAGAAGAAAATTTTTAATTATAAACTTTTAATCAAGTAATTCCAGTTGCTTCTTATTGTTTGCTGGTATTAGCATAAAGTATTTGGTAATTTGAAAGCTCTATGTCATTGTCCTGTATCATATTATTTTCTACTCTAAATGATTGAAAAGTATTAGATTACAATTTTCATAATTTTTATCCTGTATTATTTGTACTCTAATATTTTTCAGGTAGAATTTCCCCAAATTGGGGGAGACTGCTATACTATGAAACAAAATAAGCTTGTTTGAAAAAAATAATATAATACAATACAATACAATAGCAGAGTTGGAAGGGACCTTGGAGGTCTTCTAGTCCAACCTGCCTAGGCAGGAAACCCTATACCGTTTCAGACAAATGGTTATNAGAATATATAGAGAGAGACAATATAGAGAAAGATAGGTTAGTGGGGAATAATGCTTATAAATAATGCTTAAGTAATCACACAGTCCTAACTCTGGAGTATATTGATTAAATATTTTATGTACTGCTCATTAAAATTAAACACATGCAATGAAGAAATATTTACTTACATGGCATCCTGTAGAAGAAGCGTGCTCCTGCACCATCATTTGTTTGCAAGAATTTACTGTCTAGAGACCAGTCAATATGAGTGATAAAACTAGAAGACTTGCTGCATTCTCCAGTTTTCTTATACCGCTGAGCAACTGCATAGATATCTACCTGACCATCATTAGAACCCACTGCAAGATAGCAGCCATCTGGTGAAAACTTCATTTCATGAATTACTTCTTTCCGATCTTTGATATGAACAACTTCTGTCATATCTCTGCAGAATGTTGAAAACATTATTAGCAGTGGTTGTGCAAATGAAAAATGATAAGATGGTGGTATGCAGATTCTACTTTGCACAAACATGCTCTTAAAGGGCAATCCAATACATATGTAGTTAAAAGGTCCTATTAAACTCAACAGAATGTGTTCTTCAAAAGTAGTATATATCTGCTTTGTAGCAGAATATTATCATGTAGTTTAGGTACAGGTAACAAATGAGATCTGGTTAAAAAACTATGATTTAATCAGCCAGAATTAAAGCATCTAGGCTAGGGATGCAAAAAGATATATAAAGATAGATTAGGTCTATTCATCATGGTAGTTGGATTTTGTTCTAATTTAAAATTAATTTCTAGTTTAGAAAAATTGCATTGGCTTACCATAAACTCTAAGTGATGAATTCTGGTATACAGATCACAATTACTAATTTTATATATTGTGCTTGAGGTATTCAGCAGGTTCTGATCAGTTCTGGAGAACCGGCAGTGGAAATATTGAGTAGTTCAGGGAACTGGTAAATATCACCTCTGACTGGCCCCACTCCCATCTATTCTCTGCCTCCTGAGTCCCAGCTGATNGTGGCCTTACCAAGGCATTATAAAGTGGTATTAACACTTCATGTGATCTTGATTCTATCCCCGTTTATGTAGCCTAGAACTTTGTTGGCTTTTTTGGCAGCTGCTGTACACTGCTGGCTCATATTTAAGTCGTTGTCCTCTAGGTTGTCCTACTATAATTTTATAATTGGAAATTGGAATTGGCAAGGAATAACATACAGTATATCTGCAGATAACGAGCCTGTTCCTTAGAATTATGGAGAAGGGGAACTGGATCAAGAAATATTAAGGCCAACAAAAGGTTTTTAGAGAATGGACAGTTTTGGGGGAATGGCATCATTGAGGTCCTCTTCGCTCTGACTTCCAAAGGGTCATAAGCCTGTGTTAAATTTCCATTAATATTTCCGAAACCAATTTCTAAAAGCAAGTGATGGCTGAATCTATTTAATGAAACTTGTAATCAAAATGTTTAACTAAACAGAAAAAAATTAAAATAAGTTTGAAGTTGTTGCCATGTATTCAAGCACTTAGACATAAAAGAAGAAATTGCTTTCCCCCCAATTTTTTATTTTTTGTGAAATATTAAAATACAAACTCAAAAAAAGGAACAAAATGCAAATACAAAAAAGCTAGACAAAACTACTTACAAAAAGTGCACGAAAATTAAAAATAAATAAAACAGACAGATACATATATTGTTCCCCCTAGTGGAATACTATACAAAGATCATAACTTCTGCCCAATGTGAAGCAGGTACACAATTTATGTATTTTTAGTACTGAATACCTAACCCACTTAGCCTGCCATCTATCTACTACATGGAGCAGTAAATAGTTAACACAAAAAAGTGTTACTTATTTAGCTTATTTAGCTAAACTGCAGAAATTTTTCTGGAGGTTCTCTGAATTATCAGGAAACATTCTGGGAAGGAAAGAATTTATAATAAGAATATGGAAAAAAATATTTCTTCTGAAATATAATGGACCATAATTCCTATCTTTTATTTAAATTAAAAAGATGATCCAACAATTAATTAACACAAATAAGTTGCAATAGTCATGATACAAATAATGTAATTATTTAAATTACACAGACTGTATTTATTTAACATATTTCTCTGCCCATTGACAATGCTGAACAAATGTGCATTGCAGGGAGAAGACTAAATCTGCCCTGTAACCACAGGACTAAGCAGTGTGTAAAAACGATGGAAACAAGTTGGAGGATGTAGCATTATAACTAAAGCCCTGTATTTTTTGCATGAATGATGCATACATTTAAAAAGGACAAGGCCTCAATTGCAATATTGTAAATACTATCTTGACTTTTCTATCTTCCCTCCAGATGCCACTGAACCAACAAGTGTATTTTTTCCAGATATTCATTTTCAGTATGATGCAATGACATTTCAACTGTTCCTGATCTAATGATTTGATACTGCAATGTTACTCACCTGCCGAACATAATTGATTTGAGCTTCTTGTTCAATATCTGAATCTAATTCTGGCACATCTGATAAATCAGAATCTGATTCTTCACTGTATGAATCTATGCCACATTCTGCAGAAGGGATGGAATAATATTAATCAGTTAGTGATTTTTTAAAAATAATCCCCAGTGCCAGGAAAGCAGAGGTGGTATGCTGCTGGTTCGCACTGGTTCGGGTGAACTGGCGGCACAAGGCTCTGCCCACCCACTCTGACATCATCATGAACTTTCTGTGTATGCCTAGACATGCCGCGTGTGAGCGAAGCGGTAGTGAAGAAAATAGAATATCATCTCTGCAGGAATGATATGTAAAATCTCAGTCCTGACATGTTAAAATATTGGCTAAATATCTTGGACATATTGAACATTTCTGACTTGACAGTAAAATATATAAAGCTACCTAAGCCAGAAATGAAAACAAAGCATAACATTAAATAAGCAGATTCTCTTTTTAGTGATCCTTTCCACAAATTTCCAAGATGAGAGAAGAGATTAAAATAAAAGGCAATGTATGTGTTAAATATCAGTACAAATAGTCCTCGACTTACAACAGTTCATTTAGTGATTGTTCAAAGTTAAAACACCACTGAAAAAGTGACTTATGATCGTTTATTATATTTATGACCCTTGCAGCACATCCATGGTCATGTGATCAAAATTCAGAGAGATGGAAACTGATTCATATGTATGACAGTTGCTGTTGCCCCTGCATCATACACTCACCTTGTGTGACCTTCTGTCAAGCAAAGGCAATGGGGGAGCCAGATTCCCTTAACAATCATGCTACTAACTTAACAACTACAGAGACTCACTTAACAATTATGACAAGAAAGGTCTATTTAACTCAGTAGGATCTTTTTGCTTAATTGTATTTCAACCTTCTGAAAGACTTACCTATACGGGCTGCTTCAAGGATTCCAGTTGTTACACCTTCAGGAATAAACCGCCATTGAAAAACAGAATGATCTGCACCTCCTGTACTGATTACCCATTGGAAGTCATGTGACCAGCGGACATTTGTAACATGAGCAGAATGGCCAACATATTTTCTAAATTTTGCACCTAAAATTAAAAAATAAAGATAATTGAAAACAAATCTGACTAAGTCACCATAAAAAAGCAAGCCATATACACAACACATACACAGATGTGCATGAAAGTTATTGCAAATTTTATAAAATCACTTTTGACTATACTCTCCATGAAATTTCCAAACATGATGCAAACAATCCATATATTTACAATTTGGCCAACGTTCCATCACTCAGGCTGGGGGGT